CGTAGCACTTCCCCGGGAAGTGCTACACTGCTCATGGTTATTACATGAACTAAATCAGACAAAAATAAGTATTGCATAATATATATGTTAAACATCTTCATTCTTCATTGTGTGTGAATAGACAATTTAATTTTATTATAGCAATGGCCAATTGGCTGACTATAAGGTCATGGCCTGAACAAACAATTAAAAAAAAATAGTCAAGTGATGCTAAAGCAGAGCACAAATGTGTAATAAGTTAATAGATTAAAAAACTGATTCATGTGATGCATTACGCAGAGCACAGATAAAAAACTGATTCAATGATTAAAATTATAGCTGTGAGTGTCAAAAAATTACTGTGTCATAAAAAAGGAACGATGTACACGTGATCTGAGATACCAATATCTCAATATGTTTGTTTGGGGACTGGTTTGTAAGCCAGCCAATGTTTACGAATATAATATTAATAACTTTATTACATAATCATAAATATATATCATAAATAGATCAAATCTGAAACACAAATTTGCACGCAGTTAATAAATTTATAAAAAAAAGAAAATGAAGAGAAAAAAAAAAAAGGTTTATTGATAAAACAAAATATGGAGCACTCTGTGCTTCCAACAGCCTTTCAGACTCGCGCTAAGTTTGTTAGGGACTGATTTAGGATATCGTAGATATTGCTATGCCATGCCATTAGTTTGGATATGTAGTGTTTGTGATTGTTGAAATCAATTAATTAATTACGGTTTGTGCTGATAGGAAAATAGTGATAGTGGGGAATGTGGCAGTGTAAATATGGACCTGGAATTTAGGATGTGTGGCTTATCCATTAATATTAGTTGCCGCTAGTCTGTGATCAGTTTGTTCTGGTTTTTTTGTGTGCAAATATATATTCATAGTTTATTTTTGTAATATCATATAATATATAGTACTTAATGATAACCATATGACTAATAACTGATTTACTAATTAACTAATTAACTAATTCACTAAACTGATATAATGACCGTTGTGTCCAGTAACTTTCAGACACGTTGTGACCTTCTTAGACCTGGAATATTATGTAATAAGAAACTGGGCCACGTGTCATCGTCATTTTCACTCTGCAGGTTCAAGAGCATGCGTTTTGTAGCCGATTTAAAAAGGTTTATGGAAAAAAGTGTGGGTAGGGTGCTTACATTTGCATTTACAGCATAAATTGTAGGCTATCCATTATCGGTATAAAATTTTGTATCTAGATAAACAGATAAAGATTTAGGTTTTATCTAGATAAAACCGATAAAACCGATAATTTTTTGCTGAAGGCCAAAGCCAAAATGTTTTCCAAATTTCACAAAAACTAATTGTCGAGCTTTATGACTGTTTTACCAGTAATCTTGGTAAAGTACCACTTCCTTTCTTTTGAAAATACTAGAGCATCAGTTTTCTTCTCCGGGGAACAGTTGTGCACCAATTCTCTTTAAAATACTAGAGCATCAGTTTTCTTATCCTAAGAACAGGGGTGAACATTCTCCAGAAAACAGTATAGCGCTAGTTTCTTTCTCCTGAGAACAGTAACGCACTATTTCTCTTCAAAACAGTAGACCAACGGTTTCCTTATCCTGAGAACAGTAGTGTACTACCAGTTCTCTTCAAAACAGTAAAGCATTTAAAGTGATTCAGTGAACCGTTTCCTTATCCTGTGGATAGCTTGGAGCAACAGATTCCTTCTCTTGAAGACAATGTTTCACCCCCAGAACACTTCCGGAATTCAATTGAGTGCCCTGCCGGTATTTTTGACTTCTGTTAACAGTACCATGCTTGTGCCCGTCTCCAGAATGGTTGTAAGGTAAAACGCCAGCACCCTCTAGAGAACAATGTCAGTAACCTTCTCTGGATTTCTGCAGTTCATACAGTTCTACAGGTATACAAATGTAAATAAACCTCTTAAGCTCACATCCAAGTAAACTACCCCTTCTATCATACTAGAAGACATTTGGGACTGTTTCTTGGATAACTTGGGAACAGAGAGAGGCAAAACTACTAATATTTCTTTAAAATTTCACTGTATTGTGGTAGTATTTTCGGTAATTTCTAGTGAATTTTTATACCGATAAAAATATATTTTATCTAGATAAACAGATAACTTTTTTTAACGAATTATCGGAGATAATTATCGGTTACGATTATCGGAGTGGATAGCCTAATAAATTGAGAGTAAAGGTCCTTTGAAGAACATCGAAGATCTGAAATGTGTGGTGTTGTACTCGGCTAACCAGGATGCTGCAGTCACGTGATCTGAGTTTGCAGTGGGTGCATTTTCTGGGATAGTCATACAGATTTGTTGAGGGACTGAGCTGCGGAAATTTTTGATTCGGTGCATGAGAATTAGTGTGTTTTTTACAATAACACTGTGCACCGTGAGTATACCATTGTTATTGAAAAATTGTTTTGTGTGTTCTGGCAGTCGACCGTCTTTGTAAAAGTAATTAATGTGACCTGGCATTACTGCCCTGATACCCTGTTTTTGTCGTGAGAAGAGTGATTCAATGTGATTTTTTGCTGCAAACCCCCATACAATTGAACAGAAGTTTAAATGCGATTGAACAAAACTTTGATATATCTGTAGCCTTATTTGAATCGATAGGTGACGTTTTATTTTATACATAATTCCTACATACCGCATCATTTTTGATCTAACAGCTGCTATATGCTTAGACCATGTTAGTTTATCATCCATTATAACGCCAAGGAACCGTGCTTCCCTTTTACGTTCTAATTGTGTGTCTGCAATATGAATATTTGGAGTATTATCAGTATTTCTAACACCGAAAAGCATATAGCAGGTCTTTTTTAGATTAAGTGCAAGTCCATTACAGTCAACCCAGCGTACAAACTCGTGGGAGAATTGGTTGAATTTTTGTATAACATCGTTTGCATTTTTGCCTTTTATAATGATGTTCGCATCATCAGCGTAGAGTATAAACTTTATCATACTGTTGATATTTGGCATATCATTGATGTAGATTAGGAATAACAAAGGTCCCATAATACTGCCCTGTGGAACTCCGTATGTAATAGGTTTAAGAGCTGATTTAATACCATTCAAACATACATATTGCTGACGTGTGCTCAGGTAGGATTTAAACCATTGCAAAGCTTGCCCACGGATTCCATAGTGCTGGAGTTTGTCAATCAATACATCATGAGACAAAACGTCAAAAGCTTTACTAAAGTCGACTAGGAGTAGTAGAGCAACTTCCTTTTTGGCAAGGGAATTCAGAATCGTGTGTTGAGCATCTAAAAGAGCATGCTCACAGGATCGGCCTGGCCGGAAGCCATATTGCCCTTCAAAGAGCGAGCCTTTCTTGTCAAGGAAGTCCATTACTCTATTATGCATAAGTTTTTCATACAATTTGGAAAAGGTGCACAGCAAAGATATGGGTCGATAGTTAGTGGCGTCGGATTTGCTGCCTCCTTTGTGAATTGGTATAACTTTAGCTATTTTGAGAGATGATGGGAAGATACCTTGACTAAATGATGTGTTAATGATTATGGACAAGACTTTACAGAAGGAGGGGCAGTCTTTTACAATTTTTAGGGGTTCAATTTTAGTGTCTTGAGTGGATTTATTCTTAAGCTTGCTAATAATTTGTTCAACTTCACTTTCGGTAGTTGGTCTTACGAACATAGACTGCGAAGCTGGGCTGCTAAGGTAATGTTTAAAACCCCCTGGATCGAATACAGTACGCGCGCTGATCGCATCTTTGATTTTTGTGGCAATGTTGGAGAAGTAAGAGTTAAAGTGCTCAGCTACATCACTGTCACTATTTATGATATTTCCGTCGGCGTTTTGGAGTTTAATTTTGTTATGAGATTTAGATTTTCTGCCAAGTAGAGTGTTGATCAGCTGCCATTGTTTCTTTGAACAATCTTTATACTTATCAAATTGTGTTTTGTAGTATTTGTCTTTTGCCTTATTGACGTGCTTGTCGCAGAATGCCTTATGCTTTTTGTAAGCCTTGTAGTTTTCCTCCGTTGGGTCCACTATTTTGGCATGGAATAATTTGTTTTTACGAGCACATGCAATTTCAAGCCAGGGTAGCATAAAAGGTTTGGGGTCCTGCCTTTCAAATTTGCGGCGCACATGATTGGTTTTCACTGGGTATGCCTCATCATAATGCTGACCGTATATTTCAATAAATTTGTTATATTGTTCATCAGCACAATTTTCACGTGTGACTTCCTCCCACATTTCGGATCCAATTAATTCTATAAATTTAAGGTTGTTCGACTCGTTAAACATACGTTTTTCAATATTCATTCCATGGTCGACTCTGTGTCGTTTGTTTCTACTCCCTGCAATGTGGCTGTATTGCCCAAGTGAGATAGTAACAAGAGTGGCTAGATGATCAGACAGGTCAACAGTAAGAACATTGCAGCTGTGTGTGTGTTGTACGTTATTGCTGTAAACATGATCTATAAGAGTGGCACTGTGATCAGTGATACGTGTGGGACGTGAGACTAGCTGAAAGAAACCGTATTTAGTCATAGTTTCAATCAAATTTTGACAATGTTTGTCAGTATCATAATGTGTAAGATCTACATTGAAATCTCCGACTAATATAGTATGTTTTCTCGAGTGCCTTTCCATGCCGTGTAATAGGGAGTCAATGAGTTTGTTAAAATTATCAGGATTTTTTGATGCTGGTGACCGATATATATTGACGATTATCTTTGTTTTGTTAAAGCCTTTGCAGTTATGGAGTTTTACCAACATGAATTCACCACTCTTGTCTGTCACATCAAAGTTTTGGGGAAAGAATTTTTCAATATTTTCAGACTCGCATACGCGCGTATTGATATAAATTGCTAAACCCCCACCACGACCAGAACTACGTATTGGATCTCGTAACAGTGGTTCATAAAATCCCTCAAGCACTAGGTCATTAATACCACTAGGAAGTTTATCCTGCAAGAGATTAGTCTCGTTAAAACAAAGGACATCATACTTTTCATCATATCATTTTTAATACTTTCAACACTACTATATAACAAATAATTTGAGGACCCCTAGTGGGAATTAACACCTCAATCAAATGTAGCAACCATTACAGGTTGTATGTCGATGTAAATGGTTGTTGCATGATAGTTTATTTAAAGACATCCTAAAGACTATCAGACATCGTTTTTAAGAGCTGTTAATTCCCATTTATCACCTATCACCCATCTATCACCTAAAGAATATCAGACACCACTCATTCCCATCTTCTGAATTGCTGCAAAGGTACTGTAATCAACAACTAAATATCTATAAACAGTAGCATCGGTTTTAGACTCTATCCTGAATTCTTTGCATTATTGTGTTTATTTGAACTATGTCCGGTATCCCAATCAGAAATTACAGCCTTCGTGACAGACCTAACAGTGCAAAAGCAAAATGTTCTACCTGTGTATCACTAAGTCTTGAAAACGACAATTTGAGGAGACAAATTGCTCGTCTAACCAAACTTACCCAAGGCTCAGGCCATGACAAAATTGCGGTTCCATTCTCTTGCGGGGACAATGTTCTTATCTCTGAACATGAATCAGAAACTCAAAACTGTGAAGTTAGCAGTGTGACTGAACTTAATAGCAACCCATCTCTTGTGAATTCTTCTGATGTTAACAAACAATCTTCAACCAGTGTTAACGTTGTGGGTAAGTCCATCAATCCATATCATGATTTGAGTCGAGGTGTATTCAGGTTTGTTGATACTCTCAAGTTGGATATGGAAACACAATACACACAAACGTTTAACAATAGGACTGTAGCATACTATGGGGATTTCCCATATGCCTACAATGGAGGCTTCCATAACACAAGGCCGTTAAATGACAATCCCTTATTAAAGTCTATTTTAGAACGTTTACGCTCACAGTTCCCAAGTCTGAAATTTAACAGCGCCATGATCACTAAGTATGAAAATGGCAAGCAAGGAATACCATTCCATTCAGATGATGAGAGGTCCATATCACCAGGCTCTATGATTTCCACCATATCGTTAGGAGCAACAAGAGTCCTCAGTTTTAGGTCTAAAAGCAAAGTCCACGTTGCCAATCTTACTCTCTCCCATGGCGACATAATGATTATGACCAGAAAATCTCAGGACAGCTTTGAACACAGCCTTATTCAGGACCATACTGATGACATGAGAATTAGCATTACTCTGCGCCAGATTGATGGCAGTGCAACCTTGTCTGCTCCACCCGATACCTCAAGTAAGCCTTTCGTTACTGTAAGAGAAACTGAACCCTCAACCAAAGGGAAATCATCACCCAACAAAATCACTCATAAGAGCACCGTACCCCCTGCTTCAGTCAAAAGCAAATCCCTTGCTGTGTATGTTAGCTCAAGTTCTCCAAGTTAGATGCTACAAAACTATCCTCTGCTCATCAAGAAGCACATGTATTTCACTATCCTGGTGGCATTGCAAACGGTATCAATGAACGCTTCCACTCAGATGAAAGAAAGAGGTCAATTGATGCAAATAATGTGAAGACCATCGTACTCATGTGTGGAACTAATGATGTGGACTTAATCCTAGAGAGTCCTCGACACATGAGGAATAGATTATTGTCACCCGATGAGTTCACAGGAAAAGCAAAAGCCCTTGATAACACCAATCGCTCTATTGATAATCTGATCCAGTCACTTCACTCGTGGGCTCCAGCTGCAAAAATTAAGATCATAAACATTTTACCAAGAGAAAGTTTTGCTAGAAATAAAGTGATAAATGACATCAATATCTTTTTATCTAAGATTCCTTCCAAATACTCGTTTGTTAGCTTTATACCCACAGAGAAGAATTGATTTTTGTTTAGTGATAGATCTGGATTTAGGAAATCATCTTGTTTTAGTAGATTTGGGGAAGACAATGTGCATCTAAACAGCGATGGTATCTTTAAACTAGCAAAGCACATCAAGTACCATGCTCACCATTGAAACCGACATGACATTTCCACCTGAATATTTATTTTGATTTCAAGTTTAATACTTTTCTATTGAAAATATTTACAGGCGGATAATTTTCACCTGATTTTAGTTTAATCAGACACAACGACTAACACGTTTTGTGAAATGACAAATATTCACAACTCAGCTGACAAATTTCATAACCTTTGCATTGGTCACTGTAACATTCAAGGTGGTCTCCTAAATTTAGCTAAAAGTAATGAACTTACTCAACTCATTCGAGATCATAAGCTAGACATACTTTCCCTAAATGAGATGAATCTTAATGATACTATTGACACAGACACCATAAATATTCCTTCCTCCTTCAACATTATGCGATGCGACAGGCCAAACAGTTCTAGGGGTGGTTGTGGCTTAATGATAAACAAAAAACTAGCTTACACAGAATTAGTTATGGATAGTAAGCTTGAGAACATTGAAGCATTATGGGTGAAGCTTAAGAATAGCAAGATCAATGTTTGCTGCTTCTATCGCTCTGGAAATTATTGCAGTGTTGATAACTTTATTGAGTACATTCATTTTTGCATGAAAAAATTGAACGGGAAAAAGGTTATCTGGATTGGGGATATAAACATTGACCAGAATAATATCTCATCCACCCAGTACAAAAAATTAGATATGACCTTGAGATGTTACAATCTAGTTCAAACCATTCAAGGGATAACTAGAGTTGCTAAACGTGGAGACAATTTTACCCAGACTACTATTGATGTAATATTCACTAACTGTTATGCAGATTTTGTTCAATCTTCTGTTCTTGACGAACGTATTGGGGATCATCAAGCTATTATGTGTGAGATAGATTGTAAAGTACCTATAGCTCCTAAATTTGAAAAGGTTGAAATTAGAAATCATTGTAAACGTAATGTTAAACAATTCTTAGACTATCTAGATACCTGTTCTGATTACAGTCCACTATTGGAAAGTACAGATGTTGAAGCTATCACTGCTGGCCTTTGTCATCATATTGAACAGGCATATGCAACCTTCTTCCCTTGCAAGACCATAGAAAGGCATGAAAAGTTCATAAATCATACATAAACCTTCTACTGAACTTTTAAATGCCATTAATCATACACATTTTCTTCTAAAGAAATTCCGTAAAAAGAAGGATAAGAGAGACAATGGAAATTGCAATAAATGTGGTATATGTAGCAAATGTATAAAGTGTAATGAGGCCTGGGATTGCTACAAGATTCAGAGAAATATTAGAAATAAATTAGCTAAAACTTGCAAAAAGGCTAACATGTAATCGATGATCCACAAGTTAAAAGTGCCAAGAATGATCTTAAAGGGGTATGGAAAACTATCAAACTGGCATCAATATCAAATATGATCCCTGGTACAACTAATTGTCAAACTATCAATGAGAATGATCCTGAGCTATTTAACTTTCATTTTGCAAATGTTGGATCAAGATTACAAAATCAGGCCCCCAATATTGAAAGAGTTAGTTTTACTGATTTTTTACCTCCTAGAACTTCTAACATCTCATTTGATAGATTCCAAGAAATAAATGAAACTGATATCCTAATGTATGTCGAAACGCTCAAGAATGACAAGGCCTCATATGACGATGTGCCTCTATTTTTACTTTAAAAGCAAGCTGTACCACACATAGTTGAGCCACTGACCCATATTGTCAATTTGAGCCTTAATACAGGTGACGTGTTGTACCAACCCTTTGTAAAAAAGCTAGAGTAACTCCCATCCATAAGGCAGGAATGAAAGATGATCCTAATAATTACAGGCCAATATCCATCCTTCCACTTGTAGGAAAACTTATAGAATACTTTGTCGGCAAGCAACTCACTGATTACATGGAAGAGAACAAACTTTTCATCCGGCATCAATATGGCTTTCGGAAAAATCACTCCACAACTTATTTGATGTACGATCTGATGGATGAAATATATATGAGTAAATCTAAGTCTTATAAACCAGGAATCATCTTTCTTGATCTTAAGAAGGCCTTTGACGTGACAGTGAATCATGAAATATTGCTTCAAAAATTGGCATATTATGGAATTGGTGGCATTGCTTTAACCTGGTTTAAGAACTTCTTATCTTGTAGATATCAATGCACTAGGATCAATGGCAAACTAAGTTCATTTTTAGAAGTTCTGAGTGGTGTACCACAAGGAAGCATCATTGGGCCTATATTATTTAGTATCTTAATAAATGACATCATTTATGCCTGTAACCTATTTAAGCCCTTTCTATTTGCAGATGATGGTGCACTATTCTTTGATCAAACCTGTAGAAGCACATTTATAAACATGAAAATAGAACTTATGACAATCTTTAAATGGCTCAGTGTAAATAAATTATCACTCAATGAAAAGAAGACTGAATTCCTATTGTTTGATTCTGTTGATCAACATGATGAATTAACCATTGAATGTAATGAGGTAACTTTCACAATCAAGGAGTGCAAAGAGACAAAATATCTTGGCCTCATTCTAGATAGTAAATTAAACTTCAAAAGCCATGTAGATTATATTATTAGGAAGGTCATGAAGAGAATTGGTGCCATGTATAGAAGTAAAGCACTGCTGCCCATTAAATATAGGAAAATGTTTGCCAATGCACTCATGTTGCCACAATTCGATTATTTAGACACAATCTATTGTAGAGCTGGCAAGACAAAACTTGCTGAACTTGACACTCTGTACAAAAAGGTAGCCAAAATTGTTGGAACCCTGTTCTTGGGTTAATTAAATAACAAATAATACTCAATTATTATAAATACAAATTAGATGAATAAAGAGGTTATACAAATAAATGGTGTTTCAAATGTAACCTTGTTACTCTATGTACTCACCCTCAAATAGTGAATGAGTGATTGAAATGTGATTGGTGTGACTCAGCTACTCACACTGCTATAACAAATACACAAATCAATACTAAACTAAATAATGTCTTTTTACTATTAGATTAAACTACTATTAAATTAAAACTACTACTCCTGATGATGATGTTCTTCTTACTATATGAGGTACTTCTGAATGATGAGGACTTCAACTAAACTGGAACTGATAACTATAA